AGTTCGAAGTCGTCGATCGACCTATGTCCTATAACGCAATCGTAGGGACACCGTGGTTGAATTCGATGCAAGCGATTCCGTCGACGTACCATATGTGTCTCAAGTTCCCGACTCCGAACGGAATCGAGACTATATGGGGAAATAGACGAGCCTCGCAGGTTTGTTACGCCGCGGATTTAAAACGAAAAAATCTGCCGGTTGACATCTCTTCCAAAAAAAAAAAGAAGTCGACGATCCTCGACAACGCCCCAGAACAAGACGAAGCGGAGCTCTTCTGGCAGTTGCGAGCGGTTGAGGCTTTGGAAGGTAAGCGCGAGCCAACCTGCGAACCCGTCGTCTCGGTATGCATCGACGAGAACTTTCCAGAACGCTGTGTCGAAATCGGTGCAAACCTGAGCGAAACCTTAAAAGTCGAACTCCTGACATGTCTAAAGCGAAACTCAAACACGTTCGCTTGGACTGCGGAAGACATGCCAGGGATCGACATAAACATCACATGTCACGAACTCAACGTTGACCCGACATCCAAACCCGTCAAACAAAAAAGACGGAAACTGGGGCCGGAACGCGCCGAAGCGGTCAACAGCGAAGTCGACAGACTCCTTAAAGTACGATCGATCACAGAAGTTCGATATCCTGACTGGCTCGCCAATCCCGTTTTCGTAAAGAAAAAGAACGGAAAGTGGCGAGTCTGCGTCGATTTCACCGATCTCAATAAAGCGTGTCCGAAAGATAGTTATCCGCTGCCGCACATTGATTGCTTAGTCGAGGCAACCGCGGGAAACAAACTCTTATCTTTCATGGACGCCTTCTCGGGATACAATCAGATCATGATGAATCCCGACGATCGGAGAAAACCGCATTCATAGCCGATCGTGGAACCTATTGCTATAAAGTGATGCCTTTCGGTCTAAAGAAGGCTGGCGCGACTTACCAGCGACTCGTCAACCGAATGTTCTCCGAACAACTCGGAAAAACAATGGAAGTGTACATCGACGATATGCTCGTGAAATCGCTCAAAGAGCAAGACCACGTCGTACACCTCCAGGAATGTTTCGAGAGGCTCAACCTTCATAACATGAAGTTGAACCCGGCAAAGTGTCGATTTGCCGTTGCGTNACCGAATGTTCTCCGAACAACTCGGAAAAACAATGGAAGTGTACATCGACGATATGCTCGTGAAATCGCTCAAAGAGCAAGACCACGTCGTACACCTCCAGGAATGTTTCGAGAGGCTCAACCTTCATAACATGAAGTTGAACCCGGCAAAGTGTCGATTTGCCGTTGCGTCCGGAGAATTTCTAGGGTACCTCGTCACCTACCGGAATCGAGGCTAACCTGAAACAAATCACGGCACTGATAGAGATGGTCTCTCCCAGGACGAAACGCGAAGTACAAAGACTAACCGGCAGGATCGCGGCACTTAACCGTTTTATCTCGCGTTCAACGGACAAATGTCTACCTTTCTACG